AATAACAGTTGGATCATACTGCAAGCATGGCAGACGACCTGACTTAGCTCAGATAAAGATTGTATCTCATAGCCTACCACGAATAATAAAGGTCTCAGTAGGTTTGATTGAGTGAGACGATATTCTCAGAAGTATTAGCGCGCGAACGCCGTTTTTATGTATTTATATTAAAGAGAAAACTATAATAAAAAGTTAAAATTTTTGAGCGACGTAAAATATTTTTGTTTGAGCTATAATTTAATAGCAATTAAGTATTTTTAAGAGATGCATTTTCAGCCTTTTATTAGAATAAATCAATGTTATTTATAACGTCATAACTCAATAAAATGAACATGAAGGACTATTTGATGCTTTTCATGAAGCAATATCGTGTGTATTTCATAATAGAAAATGATTTAATAAGAAATTTTTTCTTTTAATTTTAAATCATGATTCATAATAACTATTTTTAATTTGGAAAGAATGAACCTCATTTAAGTGTATTATTTTCTAATGTGTAATCAAATATTGGATTTAATCATACATTTGAAGAAAAAAAAAGATGATACATATTAATACGGAAACGAATACGAGACAAATAAAAATATGTTATATCATGGCAGAAAAGAGGCATGTGAAGAAATTATAATTTTATTGGCACTTTTATAAAACTGATACTTTAACCGGTTAACGCCCAGCGTCATATAGTTAGGACAGTTCCTTTTTTCAAAGACATTCATTGTGGTGGGAAACTTTTTTCAGGACTTTCATTCATCTGGGTGAATTAAAAGATTCATAGATACAACAATTATTTAGTTATTTCTGATTAGATCTAGAATTATAAGGAGCAAGTACATACCTACCAACTTTCACTCTTTCCTTGAATGGATTTTCAGAGTGGTTGTAAAACAATAAACGAAAAACAATCTGACTCAAAAATATATTTATCTGTAGAATATCTGGCGCTAAGATTATTATGCTTTTATATATTTATTATAATTATTTATATGTAGTGGTGGTCAATCTCATTTATAATTATCATTATAATTCAAAAAGTTATTTGGAATAATCTGAGTATTGCTACCTCCTTAAATATGAAAATAGTATCTTCCGGAAAATCCGGAAAAGTTGGCAGGTATGCAAGTACTTTTATATCTATCAAAGACTTTTTGAATGCTCTAACAGTAGAAAAAACAACTAATTTCGATAATATGTTATACCATATTTTTCATAAAACCACTTTTTGTATCATTACAATTTATAAATTCGGGACAGAACGGGTTAAAGTAAGTTCTAAAGAACTCTTTCAGAATCACATGGTATTCGTTTAAACTCAAAATAGAAATATTATAAGTATAAACACTGCACTTATTTACAAATAAACTACGCATATAATGTAAAAATAGAACAAAATAATTTAGCTATGTATTTAAATAATAGTAATTATAACGCAACGATAACAAATAAATTATAAATAATTTTGAAAAGTATTTCGATCCTGAAGATTGTAAGACTTTAAAATAGTATTTATTATTTTCAAAAATAAATATAGCTTTTTTCATTTTTTGTTGACTATAATAAAAATGTGAAGCATTTTCAAAAATTAAGTTTTTCTGACATATAAATTTATTGGTGACAATCTTTCTTATGCAAATTGTTAAAAAAAAATATTGCATAATAGAGATTCCTCTAGAAAATTATTAGTAAAATATTCAAAGTAGAAATTGTTCATTAATTAAAAAAATTAAGCACTGTTAAAGACAAGAAAATATCGAATATTTTTCATGAACTGCATTTCAAATTGTATAAAATTTTTTGTTAATCGCAGTATTTAAAAAAAAATTAAGATAGAAAAAATATAAAAAGCCTTTATTAAAATCATTTTTCCTTTTACTCAATGAGATACATCTCAGTAATTGATATATTTTTATGTAAGATACATTTGAATGAATAATGTATACGTATGTATTAACTATTGTTTTAAAGCTTGTTAACATAAACTCTTCCAGACTTATAAGATAAACATAAAAGTGAGAATAAACTGAGAATACCACATTTAATCTGGAGCAAACTAAAAATTCATTTATCCTTAAGATTTCAAAAAAATCTAAATTAAGTTTTTTTTTAATGCTTCATTTTCAACCTTAGTATAGCCAGTTCGAAATAATGAAGAAAATAATAACATAAAAATTTAATAAAAAACTTTTTTCCCAGATTTGTACGACAAGATATTACAAGGAGGATAATTATTAATTGGATAATTTTATGAAAAAATAACATAGCGAAGATTTATTAATTTGAACGAAAAACATATTAATTAAAAAGTTTTTTTTTGTTATTGTTTTCGAATTTTTTATAGTTATTGTTTTCTCTAATTAACAAGACAGGATGTGAATTTAAAAGTGTGAGAAAGTGTTTCGATTAAAATAATAAATTAAGAAAAGGATTTACAGAAAAGAAATAACATTAAAAGATTAACTGAAGCTTTTTATGTAATATACTATATACATACATATCGTAATTAAAATTGCTTTAAGATAATTAAAATTTTGTATCTCTCAATTCGAAATTTTCAAGACACATCTTAAATAAATTAAATTGTTAAAAATAACAAATAATTTATAAAAACGATTATTTTCTTTTGTATATATTCCAAGAAATAATTGTTCCATAACAGTTTTTAATTATAAATAACAATTACACAATTGTTAAAAAAAAATTAATTCAAGTAAATAGTACATATTTGTAGCAAAATGCAAATGATGTAACAAAATGCAACAAAATGGTGTAGCAAAATGCAAAAATAGATATTTATCATGAAACAAATTTTTTGAAATTCTCTTTTGGTAAAGCCTCAAACAATCGAAAAATTTGTGAAAACTGAAATACAATTGACTTTTCAAAATATACGCGTTATTGCAAATGAATTGTTCTTTATCTCAAAACACGAATGTTTGTGAATGTTATCTATTTATTGATTAGAAAGAATCTAAATAATGCTCTATTCCCAAAACTTGTATTTTCACCAATAAGTGAAAGACAAATGCAAAACAATGATTTTACTAATAGTAATTCATATTTAAACGCAAATTTTCTCAAAAAGAGGGGGGGGGAGGAATTTAACATTTAATCAATTTAACCGATGGAATTTCAACGAACGACCAATGACTATTCTCTAAAACATAAAATCAGGAACTATATTTTTTATTTCAATCTTAGTTTTTACCAAGGTGTTCTACTACTAAGCTCTTAACTAAACATTTTATAAAATAGTTAAAAACTAAAGCTTTCTGAATTTTTGGTGATTTTGCGAACATTTTGCTAGCCTCACCACGAGAGAACAGCACTTTGACTTTAAATTGTTTTGGTTACTCCTTGGGCAAAGGATAAGGTTGCCAAGGGTTACACAATACTAATTCTGGTGGGCTGTCATTGATTCATTCTATCTGACATGACTCAAAGAGATAAAATAATGACATGGCTAGGCATATAGTTCAGTATATAAGAGAACATCACTAAAGTGGTGTTTCCGCTAAACCAATGACTGGTGTAATGCCACAGACAACGAATTTAAATAACTTGCTACTGTACAAAACATTATTCTGAGGAAATTTATCAAGGCCAAGTGGTTTCAAAGGAATATTGGCATGTGTACTAACATAAAACTCGATTCATTTGATCAATATTTTAAGAAGCTCAACAGAAACTTCTTTGACAAAGCTCTTGACTGCATTACTGCAAATTTTAACAATACTTTTAAATTTGAAAATCTTAAAGACGATGCCAGTCTTATATCTATTGGTCACTTCTTCACGAGTGAGGCGGTATTGAGCCTTCAACATCATATGTGAACAGTCGTTCCTCATTTGTATACAGTCAACATTTACATATACAGTGGGTGATCGGTTAACGAACATAATCCGTTCCAAGACTATGTTCGCTATCCGAATTGTTCGTTAACCGATCATCGATTCACCATAGACTTCCATGTGAAATCGATTAATTCGTGCTGTAGACCCTAAAAATTAAATTTTAAAAAATGTATAATTTCTTAGTAAGTTTTTTAAAAAATAATACATACATATAGTCTTGCATATTAATCAGTCCTTTTCATTTTTTCCTTATGGGGCATTGAAGAACATATCCAATGTCAATTGCTTTTCTCTCTTTTTCAGGATTTTCCGGTAGTAATTAATAGCATTGTCGTTGTTAAGATCCCCAACCCTACTGACATCAGATTGGTTTGGGTGCCATTCTAAGACCATTGCTCTGACATCCTCCCACTTTTTCAAAAGATATTTAATGGCAGATGTCGGCATTGGTCCTCTTTCGTCTTCCTCTTGTTCAGAAGAAGACACATTTTGCAGTGTTTCTTGGCGTTCTTCATTCAAAATTTCTTGGAGTTCTTCTGTCGTCAGTTCATCTTCATCTCCCATTATGAGCTATTCTGTGTCATCCTCGTTCACCTCCAATTCGAGATCTCTAGCAGTTGTCAAAATTTTATTCATAATTTCAGGGGTGTCTCCCTGATCACCTCCGTCTCCTTGAACGAAGGATGGACACAGCTTCCGCCAAGCAGAAATCAACTATCGCTGTGTGACTTCTGACCACGCCTTTTGAATGATACGAATAGCTTCAAGAATGTTTTTTTTTCCAAAACTTTTTTAATCCTTGTTGAGGAGAATTGACTTGCTTCAAAACACCGACGAAACAGCTCGCGAGTGTACAATTTCTTGAAAGCCGCAATAACCTCCTGATTCATCGGCTGAATCAGCGAAGTTGTATTCGCAGGTGAAAACTGAACTGTCAGCCAGGGAAAGTCTGTCAACAAATTATCTTCAAGATCCTTTGGGCGTCCTGGTGCTTTGTCCAATAGCAGCAGTGCTTTCTACTCAAGTCATTGGCATCAAAGTAGTCCTTGATGCTCGGGGCACAAACTTTAAATAGCTATTCTTCGAAAAGATACTGCGTGACCCATGCCCTCTGATTTGATCTCCCCATTACTGGCAGTTTGCTCTTAATTATGGAATTTTTTTTAATGCTCTGGGATTCTCAGAGTGGTAAACGAGAAGTGGTTTAAGCTTCATATCACCACTAGCGTTAGCTCCCAAAAGTAACGTCAATCGGTCTTTCATAGGTTTATGCCCAGGAACACTTTTCTCATCTTTCGTGATGTTGGTACGGTTCGGCATGCGCTTCCAAAACAAACTAGTTTCATCACAATTAAATATTTGTTGTGGACGATACCCTTCTGTTTCAATGAGTTCTTGAAATTTGAGACAGTACTTCTCAGCTGCTTCTTTATCTGCACTAGCAGACTCACCATGCATTAATACATGTTTAATTCCAGACCTTCCTTTAAACTTTGTAAACCAGCTAGTGGTAGCCTTGAATTCTAACTCCTCGGATGACGAACCTGGAGTTTGTTCTTTCAATTTCACAAAAATTTCTCTAGCCTTCTCTTGAATGATAGGCATACTAGTTACATCTCGTTTCATTTCTCGTTCATTTATCCAAACTAAAAGCAACCTCTCCATTTTATCATGGATAGCACTTCTTTGCTTCGCAGATGTGATTTTCGTTACTCCTTCAGCTGCTTGAGTCTTCTTGGTGATATCTTTCTTGGCTAATATTGTGCATACTGTAAACCTGTTCAAGCCATACTGTCTTGCAACATCAGCCATTTTCTGTCCACTCTCAACTTTGGCTATCATTTCTCGCTTGGTGTTTATAGTGAGCACAGTCCTTGACACTCCATGCTTTTTGGGACCCATAATATTGTCATATTTTCAGTTTTTTTTATAAGGAGTTCAGGCACACACGAAAATTTTGGAGAAACAGGAACCAACTAGCGTACACAATTGACACAGTTTTGGCTCACATTAGCACCGCACGTGCGTTAATACCACTTTCAGGGTTGCCAGTGGCAACTGAAAGACGATTGACTATTTGGGAAAGAGTCTGCCGTAACTGATGGTCTAATTAATATGAATATTCTATTGGAATTTTTTTTCTCTATAGAACTTTGAAGTTTAATAGGTAAGCAACATAGTTCAGGAGAGATGAAAAATGATTTTTAGTTTGTTTCTCATATTTCACGTATTTTTACGGTGGTAGCGCGTCATCGGCACGTTTATATTTTATAGTCTGCACTGTTTGAAAAAATTAAGAATTCGCTTAATTTATTCGCCATGTCAGCAAATCCACTCGCCCATAACTTATCAGCTGTCAGAAAATATTGATATTCATAATGAAATTGAAGTGCTCAAGTGTGTATTGATTTTAGTCATAATAATAATTATTGAATGACCTTTAAATTCATTGTTAATTCAAGTTTCCAGTACTTTAAAAATCCAGTACTTCATGATGAATAAGGGCCTATCTGAGGCTTCAAACTCCCAGTTCGAAATTTACAACTATGATTATGACAGTTACTTCACAGCAACTCCATACCCCCCACAGTAGACAGCGGCGCTTTATTTCCTCAGACTTCGGTTATATTTTTAACTCATAGTCTGGTTTGTGGTCTCTCTTATCAAGGAATTGAAGGAACTTTACAAGGAAGAAGTAGTCGCAGTGTTTCGGAAATGTTTCCTTCCACCGATCGATCAGTGGTGCTCTTGTTTTCCATCTGAGTCCTGAACTATCTTTTTATTTTCAGATTTTCATCGGATTTCAAGAACGATTTTTTTTCGTTCGTTACGTTATTATTTACGAACTCAGATGAAGACGCAAGGTGTTGAAAGGCAGATGTCTCGTACAATGCCACCACATTAAAGCCTCATGCAGTTTTGTCGTATTGACTCTTTTAAAAAGTAGGCGTAACTTTCCTTATTCGAAAAATTTTACTTTTTAATTCTCTACCAATTCAGTAAAATTTTTGCAGAAAGCGGAGCAGTTGGCATGTCTGCAAAGCATGATCTAGAAGAGGGAGAATTTGGAAGCAAACCAGACAGATTTTTGGATCTTGAAATGTTTTATATAACCTTTTTATTTTTCACTAATTCTCTAGATTTCCGAATTTTTTACTTTTTTGGGTTTTTATCAACTGTTTTTTTCCAGAATTCCTTTTTTTGCTGTGGCAATTTTGTACTCGCAAGATAATGTTTTGCAAAATATTTCTTATTTTGAAGATTAGCCTCTTATTTAGGTCGAAATTATTCATATAAAGTTTAAAAAAATTATCGTCGTTATATTAAAAGTTTGATATGTATTTTTGTTTGTTGAAAAGGAGGAGGGAGATTTTTTCTAATTTGGAGGAGGACCTATAAACCTTAAAGGGAGGATGTATGCCCCTGTTGATTATATTAAAATTTCCTTTGAATGCTGACTAAACTACTACAATAAACAGTCAGCAAAAGAAGAAATTTTTTTTTGTTTTAAAAAATGAATTTTGAATTTCTGGTCGGATTTTATGTGTACTGAAAACCCTTTTGTTAACACTTTACTTAATTTTACTTACTTTACTTTTCCCTTTACTTACTTTAAAACATGCCCTAACACTTTACTTTCGTTACTTGCAGAAAAATTATTAATTACTTGAAAAATTACTTTAAGTAAAGTTATTGCCATGTATGCTAATCTGTCTCAAGCCTTATTAGAATCATTTCTAAATTTTATCAATAATTTAGTTATTTCATTAAGTTTCATTAAGTTATCATTTAGTTATTTCATTAAGTTTCATTAAGTTATCATTAGTTATTAATAGGTTTCATTAAGTTATCAATGTGTAGTTATGTACTCGCTTCATTTAGTGTCATACTAAGCTTTTCGCGTCACTCTATAGTTGAAAATTTCTCTAACAGTATTATTATTACAACCAGCACTTTTGAGAATCAGCTCTTGGTCTTACATCTACTAAGTCACCAGAGTCATCCCAGCTGTTAATCTTTCGAACACTATCCGTGACGCCATCCATATTCATTTGAAATAATTTTTTTTTTCGTTCTTCTGTTTTCAATAGGTTTGATTCTAAATTGAAGCCAAACCAGGGCACTAGGGGCAGCGCCTGTTACGCGCTGTAATTTGCCAAATTCCCAGACGGTCCCCGCCAGTGCCGGACAGTCCCGCATTACGATTTCATTTGAAACGGAGTCAAGTGATTATTCACGAACTGACGTCACTCGTGTCCATATACCGTTCTTTTACAATCGCTTTGCTGTGAGAGCTATTACGTTTTTGCTTTCATTCAAATTTTCGTAGTTAAATCCAACAATTTTAGAGAGTAAATAACTACGTGAGATCAAAGATAAGTATAATAAATTTTGCAATAATGTAACTTAATGAAAATGTGACTTAAAATAACATAGTTTTATAATATTTACTAATAATAATAACATATAATTATTTATATAGTAGCCAGTGAAACATTGTTAATAGTTGTTGATTCTGAATAAAGATTTTTTAGTTCAGTACAAAAGGGGTTAGAATGAGTTATGGATTATTACTTATTAATATGAAACGTTTTCTATTACTATAAGACTATTCGTTTCCCCCTCAAAAATAAAGACCTCAAGAGGTCTTGACATCGGGAAATCTCAGGTGTCAAGGGACGTTCATGTGAGCGAATTGATGATCGTTGGATCTGGAGTTTCTTGGGCTGGGATAATCCACCCGCATTCCACTGTAAGATCTCAAGTTTCATAGCAAGTGATTGTCGAAGGCTCTAGATAATTTAGCAGCAGAGCGTTGCCCGGAGTGCACCACGAGGAGGTAGATCTACGTTGCATTCCCATTTAGTTCAACATTACAGAAACATGAATTAAATTTACAGATACATGTAATAATAATTTTTTAACCTAGCAAAATTTCTATTTATTTCAGGAATAAAAATGGTAAGACAAGATATTAACATTACTGCATATTTCATTATTTAATAAATAATAAGAAATGTGTATTAGAGTTTCTTTTCATTTTACTTAAGTTTTTTTTAATTCTTTAGCTTTAGTGAAACAAAAACGTTCAGCTTAATGTCAAATACTTAACTTGAGATTTTTTCACCTATTTTAATTAATTTTTTTTCATTAAAAATGTATAAAGCATTAATTTTACTATTTTAGAATTCTTCTTTACAAGCACTAGTAAATAGTTTGCAGAAATAAGAAGAAAAATTAACAATAACTATATATGGTAAATACCATATTGCAGAAAGAGGAATTGGAATCTAGAAATAAAAATAATTCTCTAATTGTAGAGAAATATGCTCAAAGAATAATATTGAGAATAGATATGAACATTAATGTGTATAGATACTGAAAAAAAAGAAGAAGTAAACTGTATTAGTAAATATTTACTTAAAAAGAAAAATCCTTTAACTCAAGTAAAAAAGACGGCAAAATTAAATTTCATTATCTGAATAATTGAACATCCAAACGTAAATTCAAATTCTTAAGTGAAATTAATTAAACAGAAGGTAAAAATGAAAACAACCTTAAATACATTAATTCAAATTGGAATAGCGCTCAAGGCAGCTAAAACCAAATTCAAATCATATAAACTAGTAATAATATAAATTTACTCAAAAATAATTTAAATAAAAATTACTCAAAAATAGTTAAATAAAATTAAATAAAATTTAAATAAAATTTAAATAAAGTTGTGTGTTTACAGAGCAGCACTTCATCAGGGGACACACTGTCTGCAAACACACAGGAGCCTTTCTGTTGTTAGTGGCAGAGCCAAAACTAACAGTGCCCCGAGGCCCCTAATGAAAATACAAGCATAAAAATAATAATAATTACCACATTAAATAAATATTTACCATAACAACATTCATATAAATTTGCAATATAATCACGTTTACTGAAACAAAAATACTAAACACTTAGAAGACATCAAATGCACCGCCCCCAAAGCACATATAAAACAATTACAGTTAGTAAAAATGAAAAAGAAATTCCTTATATATTCCAAATCAGCTCAAAAAATAATGTGCTGACACCTAGATAAAAATAGACAAACCAAAGAGCTAAAGAATCCAAGTGCTGCCATCTGTCTAAAAAACCTCAACAGAATATTTTGAAAAAGAAAACATAATCCCAATAAATTTAAATCCAAAAATTAAAAGATGAAAACCAAATATTTCACCGTCTAGGCCTGCTTAGACGGGCTTCAATATCGGCCAAGTTAATATGATTTGTTTAAAATTTCCTTTATC